GAGCACTCTGGGGTCTCGCCATTCGCTGGGGCACCCTCAGGACACAGGCCCCCACCCTGAGCGCGTGGCCCCGAAGCCTCTGGCCCCCGCTCTGCCCCTCGCTGCCCCAGGGCACACCTCCTCCCCATGGCCATGTCATCAGATGTTGTAATTCAAGTTGGGAAGATGTAAACTCCCAAACCAAAACGTTCACAGCCACTTGAGAAATAAAAATAGACTCCTCAAGCATGTCTTCACTGCACTTCAAGGACGCGTTGAAAGTTCAGTTCCCATTTAGGGACGGTTCATGCTGAGTTGCCATTAACCCCAATTAACTCTTAACCCCTAGCCACCCAAGAAGGGCGGCCCTGTGATTGAGGCGTCTGTGTCCTTTGTCACTTGAAATGACCTCCAGGATCAGTCCAGAGAGCTCAGCCGTGCCCGTGGTATGTGTGAACTGGTTCCCCGGGGCCCGGTGTACTGCGTAGCCCGCCCAGGAGTCTCTGCGTGTTTAGGTAGATCAGGCAGCATATTGCCCTTCACACTTCCAGAACTTGTTGCTCCATCACCCTTGCTGGATTAGCAGAGAAGTCTGAGTGCCACCCCCTGCCCCCAGTCCTAGAGCATGGAGGTGTCAGGGAGGTCTGCTGGCCTTTCATGTGAAACTCCAGGAACTTCCCTGGTGGTCCAGTGGTTAAGACTCCACCTTGTGATGCTGGGAACACGGGTTCAATCCCTGGCCCAAGAGGATCCCACGTGCCCCGGAGCAACTAAACCCACGCCACAATTAAGACCTGAGGCAGCAAATAAATAGTAAAAAAAAAAAAACCAACAGGGAACCTACAAGAATTAAGTGGTGTGGTACCAACCGTGCATTTGGTGATTCGGTCAGGAGCCCCCCAGCGAGGATGCAAACGTTTGGCGAAGCTGGCAGCGGAGACTGGCACCTGAGCGGGCTTGAGAGGCGGCAGAAGGGAGGTAGAGGCGGAGGGGAGTCACGAGAGGAGAGGCGTGAGGGTGAGAACCAGCTGGAAGTGGGGAGAGGAGGTGTCATGGCGGGGAAGCAGCCTCACACAGCGGTCGGGGGAGGAGCAGGGCCAGGAGACGCCCGGTCCCGTCCACCGCTTCCTGGGTCACCAGCCTCTCCAGACCCTCCGCCCCCTCATCAGCAAAGCGAGGCCCCGGCCCCTGCCTGGCGACCGTTCTGCTGCCCGTCTAGGGTGTTGTTGCAGGAGGTACAGCTGGTGTCGTGCTACAGATGGCCACGAAACCGTGCGTGCGTGTCAGGCACGAGCAGGTGTGCTTGGGGCTGAGTGTGGGGAGGGGACGCGGGTGCCAGCGAGCTCGGGCCCAGAAGGGATCAGGACAGGGACACGGGGGCTCCAGGCGGCTCCCCAGTCCCGACCTGCCACCAGCCCTCTGGCCACCTGAGTCCTCTCACTTTATGCGTTGTTACAGCTATGACCTCCCCCCGACCCCACACACACACCTCGGGCTCCCTGTGTCCCTTCCAAGACTGTAAAGAAACACACACCCGTGGTTTTAAGCCACCAGGTTACAGCGGTCGCCGGACATCAGCACAGAGAGGAAGGACTCGGGGGCCGTGGGAGCAGCCAGAGGCGGGTGGCGCCCTTAGTCTGCCTGTGGACGCAGGTGGAGAGGCCGTCGTGTCCCGTGCTGAGACTCCCGGTCAAGTTCGCCGAGCCCCCCAGGGACACCGCGAGAGCCGTGGCCAAGCGTGCTGCGGATGTGAGCTGCCTCCTGTCCGCCAGGACCCCCCCGGCACCCCGTGGGGCCTTCGGTGGGCGTCTCGACTCACCAGACGGACGAGGAGACCCACACGCGGCCCCGTCTGCACCCTCCCAGGTCTCGGACTTTGCTCCTGCGACCAGTTTGAAGGTTTCATTTAGAGACCAGAGAATTCGTTGTTTTTGTCTGTCTATTTGTTGTTTTTTTTTTTTTAAAGAAACACACTTGGCTGCAGGAGTTGGTGTCCCTGCCTCCTGTAATGAGTCTGGCTCAGAGAGTCCTTGAACAGATCCCGAGCTTGAACTGATCAATGGCATTCAGGTGTCTGGAAATGGCTTGGGGAGCCAGCTAATTTATAATGTCGCGTGGGCTGGACAGGAAAACCCAGGAGGACAGACTGTCTCTTGCCTTTTCATTCCTTCTTTGGGTGAAAGGAGAAGGGAAGACAGGCACCCGTGGCTGCTCAGCATCTAGCGGTGCGCTCAGGCCGGCCGGACCCCCGGGACCCTGGGGCCGTTCCCCCACCCATACCTCGAAGCTGCACCGCAGCGAGGCCACGCACGCCGCTGGCCGAGCCCCCTGCCCTTTCCCGCCCCGGACGCCGGGTCTGGCTGAACCAGTTTGCAGAGGACACCTGTTCCTTGATTGGCCCCAGCTTGCGCCGTATCTCAGTCTGGGCTCCCGGTGCAGCTGCTGTTTGCCCGTCGGCCCTGCATCTTCCCGGGCCCTGCGGTCGGTCTGTGATCCCGACCTGGGGGGATAAAGAAAACACATTCCAGCCGCTGTCCAGCCACAGATATCACAGCTGTTGACCCGATCTCCCCAAAGAGACATTCACTGCCTGCCCCCACCCTGAGGACAGGCCTTTTATCACGCACGTGGATCCCAGAGAGCCCGGCGGGGCTAGACCCTCATTCCCAGCCCGACTCACACTCCCCGGCACTCGTTGGGCGCCTTGCATATACTTCCAGACTCTACCCTGGGAGGTGGGTCTGTGTGCTCCATCCCTTTAAATGAAGGGTCTCTCAGCAGAGTCCCGTCTACAGGGGGGTATGTAATGGGGCCTCGTGTGTAAAAGGATGTTGACGTATCTCCTGAGGGAGGAGGATGAAGACGGGGTCCCCCCTGGAGAGGAGACCTCGAGCGGCCCACAGCAGCAGAGTTCCCCACCTGCCTGCAGGGCAGGTTCTGTGATCTCCCTGTTTTTATGCAGTGGAACCTTCTAAAATCCCGTCTTTAGGCCTCCAAGATGAGATCTGACCCCCCCACCATAAGCACCCACAGCTGGAGGTGTCACAGGTCAGAAGTGAAACACCCCAACTCCTGGCCCTGGACACTCCACAGTCTAGTTTCAAGCAGCCCAGGGTCATTGGAAAACGTTTATGGCAGGTGGCTTGGTCCATGTTTTTGCACGTGACATGTCCCGCCTCCATCCTTCAAAAGAGAAATTTATCAGTGGAAAGTTTCCCTGAGGTGGTAATTTTCCTAAATGACTTGCTGATGGCGCTGCAGACAGACAGGCTCAGCCTGCCGAGAGCTGGTGATCCCACACCTCGCTGTGTCCCTGGGCCATGCCTGCAATGCAGGAGACCAGAGTTCGATTCCTGGCTTGGGAATATCCCCTGGAAGAGGGCAGGCAACCCATACCCTTGCCTGGAGAATCCCATGGACAGAAGAGCCTGGCCGGCTATAGTCCATGAGATGGCAAGGAGTTGGACACGACTGGGTGACTGTCACCTCACTGTGTCCCCAGGCCACAGGGGACCAGCGAGGACTGCTCGAGAGCCCTTGTCCTCTGCCTCCCCTGTCACCCTGCCTGCTGAAACCGCTGCTCCTTCCAGAGCGGAAGCAGGACCGGTTGTCGGCCCCCAGGAGGAAGCTCCTTCCAGAAATCTCCCAGCCCCGGGGGACTGCCAGGAGGCCATACCCACCCCAGCTAACTGGAGCCCTTGCTTAACGGTACTTCAGTCTTTCCTATCATTCTCACAGTGATAATGGACTTGGATGAGGGGTCACAGCCTCTCCCACATCCTGCTCCCCTTCCAGGCGGGGCGGAGCGGGGGGTGGGACGGGCTCACCCCCACCCCCCCACCCCCATCAGGGGAGCCAGGGCCTGGCCACCAGGCCAAGCAGCTGGGACGTATTGACCCAGACCCCAGGGCCAGCCCCGACTCCCCCAAGGCGAGCCCTGCTCCCCATTTTCAGGCTTGGCACCGCCCGCCACGTCTCTGGCGAGTGTCATTAGCATTAACGTGATAACACGGCGCAGAGTAAATGCTAATAAGGTCTGCTGCCTCCGCTGCCGCTTCCGAGTGGCAGATTGAAAATGGTGCCATCCTTGCAACTCCACCCAGCAGCTTCTAATCATGCCGCTCTCAGAGCAGCCGGCTTGCCATGGAGGTCCTCAGCTTTCCTCCATCCCCAGCCCCAGTCTCCACAGGGCCACGTTTATCCATCCCCCTGTTCTCTTTTGCAAAGGGGGTTCAGTTTTCCCAGATCCCAGTTCTCTAAGGCCGGGCTTGAATTCTCTTTTGTTTTCCCCTTAAGTAAGCACTCACCCTCCCCTGTTCTCCAGAGAGGAAGGGCAGTGAGGGGGCCAGTACCGGACCCCCCACCGCTCCCACCCCCAACACCCGTCCACTCCAGGCTTCCCGCTCTTCCTGGTTCAGGCTGTTTCTCTGATGGCTCTGCCCCGGGAGACACTGGCTGCAATTCTCCAGGCTTCACCTTCTCTCGGAATTCGAGAGGTTGCTGATTACCGACATCCTGATTGATCCTGTCCTCTGAACCATTCAGGATGGTGTCCTTCCCACTGTGCCGGGCCATCCAGGCCCCTGCATCCCCACCCCTCCGTCCTTTCTTCCCAGTAAACTGTGGGAACCCGGGATGTACCTGGGGTTTGTTTTGGAGCCTCATTTCCTAACCTGTGCTCACACCAGCCTGCTGCTTGGCCCGTGACCCCCTCAGTCAGCGCTTACTGAGAAGAGAAGCAACAGGGCCATGTCCCCAAGAGATCACCTGGGATTTGCCTAGAAAGTAGCCTCAGGACCACAAGTGTGAGGCACAGCGGAGACACACGGATCTTGGTTTCTGTTGCAGCTCTGGTCCTAGGAACTCGCCAGGCGGTGCTGTCTGACCCAGGGGGGCCTCTTCCGTTCCTGGCGCACACCTGGGTTAGGATTAGCCCTGGTGATGGCTGGAGGCGGCATGAACAGTGTGCCCTCCGCACGCGCCCGGCCTCCGCACCTTCTCACTCTCGTTTTTGTCACCAGGCCGTCTTCACGCTCCTCCTCGGCCCCTTCACCTTCTTTGACGTCCAGAAGACCAAGTACCTGCAGATCCTGACGTCCCTAATGAGATGGATCGGTGAGTCTGACAAGCATCTCGAGGTCTGCCCTGCTGCCCTCATTCCCAGTCTGCCCGACACGGCAGCGTGAGCTCGCAGCCAGGGCTAAAGGTGGAGGGGCCTCCCATGGACCCCTGCACGCAGGAAGGAGGCAGGTACCCTGTGCCTTTTTACTGGTGGACAAATTTTGCCCCCAAAAAAGATAAGTCACTTCGAGGTAATGGGGGCAAAGGCGGGGCTCAGCCCAGGACCACTTGTCCCGACTGCTGGGTCCCCACCACCCCAGAGGGGCGCTCCGCGCCTCCTAGAGGCCTGGATGGGGTTGGGCCGCTTCAGGGCAGGAGAGCAGCTGCTCTTTGTTCTCATGGACACACCACGCGGCACAACCATAACACCCAGCGGGCCGTGGTGGCCACCTCAAGTCCCCGGCCACTAGAGCATAAAGACACCATAGTACCTTCCAAGTGATGCTGCAAAGAGCAAGACCCCTGCCATCCTTAGGGGAGCTCGGGGGTCTCCCCAACACCAGGTCGGCAGCTGGGAGTTCATTCATTTCTGACAACATCTTGCCAGCCACCCTGTAGGTCCAGGACCCACCTGGACCCATGACCGGAGGGCGTGCAATCACCGTCACCCCCGACCCCAGCAGGCGCTCTGGGATCAGTTGCACACTGGTTTGGGTCTCAAAGCAAAGATGCTGTTGCCATTCTGGTGGATGGGCCTGGCAGAGGGGTCTCCCCAGTCCCCCAGGATCCCCTGGGGGCCTGTGTAGCATGACAAGGTCCTGTCTGCGTGTGATGAGCGGTGCTTGTGTTAGAAGAGAGAAGGTTGTAGGAGGGAGAGAGAAGGCTTACGGTAAATAAAGGGTGGGGGTCTGGCACGGACCCCCGGCGGCCCCGGGCTCAGGTCAGACCCGGCTCCACCCGCAGAGGCCGCGCTGAGCTCCCAGCACCAGCCAGGCTCCGGGCTCCTCGGGCGCCTTCCACAGCCCCTGCCCCTCCCGGTTCTGCTTTTGGGGTCCCTGCCTTCCTCCAGGATGGGGCTCACAGCACTTTAGAAAACGGGCTGCTCTTTCCCCCAGTGTGGGCCGCCACGGCCCCCCATGACCCTGCTCTGTTCTCCTCCTCCCGGCCAGAGCCTTGCACTCAGGGCAGCGAGGGGACCACAGGGGTCCTCCTCCGGTCTCCACCTGCAGCCCTCAAGCCCTCGGAGGCAGCCCCTAGCGGGGCGGCGGGGCGGGGCGGCCATGGCCTTGAGAGAGGGCGCGAGGCGGTGACACGGCTGTCGCTGCGAGTCCCTTGCCCCTCTTCTCCATCTGATCCGAGAGAGAATTAATCAGCCGCAGCCTCTCCACCAACCACGGGTGACAGCTCAGGCCTGTCGTTTGTCTCCCCGAGAGAGTCAGGCCTCTGGGCTCGAAAAGGAAAGCCATCTCTGACACGAAGCCCTCGGGTGGAAGCCCAGCCCTCTAACGGGTGGCTGAGCCCGGGATTTGGTTCCCAGCCTGGGACGCTGGAGCCACCGGGGGAATTCTCCTTTGCAGACCTGCTCGAAGGGGTCTCCCCGGTCCTGACCCCAGAGCACGGGGCAGAGCAGGTGGGGGACAGGGAGCAGAGATCATTTACCCGGGGAACCACCAGGCAACCCCGCCATGGGAGGGAGTGAGTCTCCCTTGCCCGTGGGATATCGTGGGGTGGGGGGTCTCGCTTCTGGCCCCAAATGACCCCGGGTGATTTTTCTAGAACTCCTGCAGAGGCAGTGAGCACCCTGGCCCAGTTTCTCCTCTCGAGTATGAGCAAGTTGTCGGTTTGCGACGAGCCCCCTGTTCATTTTGCTGCTGAACGGGCAGCTCTGTGGCGTGTCCCCCCTGCCTTCCCACTTCCCGCCCACCCTGTCTCTCCCCGCCACCCAGATTAGGGTCCAGGATGTCCAGGGGAGCGGCGCGGGGAGGGGAGATAGGGTGGCAATCAGCTGGCTTGGGTTCTTGGAAGACACAGGGAAGAAGGAACGCCGAAGAGACCGGAAAATCATAAATAGATGTACTGAGCCGGAAGCTTTCTCGAGCGTAATGAGGAGTTTGTTCTGCCATCTGTTGAGGCCAGGGCAGACTGCAGGGACCCCGCCTGAGCATGGCCGCCCTCCCGCCCTCCCCCCCGCCCCGCCCCAGAGCTCCAGATGAGCTGAGAAGCCTGCAGACTGGTCCCTCCAGGGCGTCGGCCATGCCCTCTGCCAGAAGCCCCTGGTTGCAATCTGAAGGGCCGATGGCCTTTGCAAATAGCCACGTTGTCAGGAAAATGTCAGAACATGTCTAACAAGTACCACCGTTGGTTTCTTTTGCTGCTCAAATAAGTTCTGGGGAGACCAGGTGGCTGAGTTTGGGAGACGTGGAAGTTACTATGGGATCGTGTAGAAAGCGCTCCAGCATCCAGACACCAGCCCCGCGCATGCCCTCACCATCGTCATCCGTGGCCACTACGTCCCAGGAGTGGCTCCAGAGTGAGCCTCCCTTGGGGCTGGCCAGGAGGTCAGGGACGTGGCCCAAACCACCCCAGAAAGAGCTGTGTCCCTGCGTATCCCTGCCAAGATCTTGAAGGGTTGCCAGCTGCCTCTGTCCGGCCTCCTGCCCCTGCCCAGCACTGGGCCCCAGGCCCACCAGACGGGATGCCTGCCTGCTCTCCACCAACCTCACCCCCACGTCTTCAAGGAACGCCCGAGCCTCCCAGTAATGAGACGCAGGCCGGCCTCACAGAGAGGCCGGACTTCGTCTCACTCCCAGCTCCCACTGTCAGCCACACGTCCACCAGGGACACTCGGGACGCAGACAACAGTTCTGTCCTTTGTGCCCGCAGCCCCGGTAGCTGTTACCCCAGAGCTGGAGCCTTCAGCTGCTTAACCAACTGCTGCAGACCATGGCCCCTGGGCCGCCCGGGGCAGGGGCCAAAGGGGCGGCTCTCAGACTGGACGGGGCCACAGTGGCGGCATCCCTTCACCCCCTCTTACCGACATCCCCCCCCATGCCCCACCCCCAGCAAACGCCTCCTGCTCGGGGACACAGCTGGCTCGGCTCGGGGCGCCCCATTCAGTGTTATTGAAAAACCGCTTCTCTCTAATAAAGGCAGCTCTGGCACGGCAGCCCTCCTCGGGCTGGGCTGTCGGGGACCCACAGGGCTGCCTTCCCTCTGATGGTGTATTCAGAGCAGCACCACGCGCGTTATTCCCGTCTCTGCGCTCCCCTCAAAGTGGGTCAGGCACCATCCCCCCACCCGCGGTCTGTGCATACGCCAGAGCCGCGTGGATTTCCTCGGCCCCCGCACGCCCCACCTCCCCCTGGCAGGTGCCCCAGATTTGTCCTCCAGGCCGAGCCAGCAGGGAGAGGTGGGACCTGGGGCTGTTGGCCCGAGTGGCAGAAGGTCTCTGGGAGGGGACGTCACCCAGGAACACGAGGGCTCCGATTTTGCCCGTCCCCAGAATTATCTGTGGCCGAGTGGCCAACTCCCCCCGTGGATCCATGACTGATCTCAGCTGAGCGTCTCCTGCTGGGACTGCTCTCATCCGTCACCACCAGCAGCCCGGGGTCGTCCACGCCTGGGCCATCTGTTCCCCACATCCTGTTGGCTCGACAGGCCAGCTTGGTGTTTGAATTCCTTCACGGCCACGCAGTGCTGTCCCCTCACGCAACTGGTGCTTCTCGGAAGGCCAGGAAGGAGCCTCCCCCCCAAATGAAAGTAGCACATGGACCCCCATCTGCCCTCCCAGCCAGGCTTCGTCCTGCGCCTCTGCTGCTGCCCCCACGCCCGACACCCGCCGCCTCGGGCCACTGTCCAGGGCTCTCCTTGTGTCCAGCTTTCACTTGTTACACAGCCAGCGGAGGGAATCCAGGAAAACCTTTCTATGTATGCTTTTCACTCTGGTCTTAATTTTATTCTTGGTTTTCTAAAAGTTCTCTCTGCAGACGCAGAGGTTAGTTGAAAGGAGGAGAACCGGAGGTTGCTGTCTTAAGGCTCTTAGGGTAGAGTGGACACTTAATTAAAGCTTGCTGAAGGGCCAGCCGCATGTCACCAAATGACCCCTTTCATTAGCGGCAGGGCTGACCTCAGAGCTCGGCTCGGCCCCAAGCAGAGACCCTGGCTGGCTCTCCCCTCTGAGCGGCCTCTGCTATCGGCAGCTCTGCCCTGCATGTGGCCGACACTTGTGCTGACCTGGCCTTCAGGCAGGGACTCCTGCTCGTCCAGGAGGTCGGCAGGCCACCTGCCGGGACTCCAGAAGAGGGAGGGGGATCAGGCCCAGACAGGCGAGGTGCCTGAGAGACGAGGGTTACAGGCACGCCTCTGCTCAGAATCAGGCTGCCCGTGAGCCAGGGTGAACCCCAGCCAGGCAGCCGGGTCGGGCGGCCGTATCAGGGCAGCTGTGGCCCTGGGCAGCCCCGGAACCTACCTTCAGACCCCGGGGAGCCGCGCCATGCCCTTGTCACAGCCCTGCCTCCCCTCTTTCTGGCCCTCCTGGTTTCTCTCTGCATCCAGCCGCTGCTCATCAGCCGCCTTAGTGGGCTCAGACTGCCGTAACGCTACCATGAACCGGTGGCTTAAACAGCAGAGGTCTGTTTTCTCAGTTCTGGAGGCTGGAAGCGCAGGATCAAGGAGTCTTCAGGGCTGGTTTCTGGTGAGACCTCCCTCCCTGGCTTGCAGATGACCACCTGCTCACCGTGCTATCACGTGGCTTTTCCTCTGTGTGTGCAGACAGCGCGTGCTCTGTCTCCCTTTCTCTTTTTATAAGAGCACCTGGGACTTCCCGGGTGGTCCAGTGGCTAAGAGTCCGCCTGGCAGTGCAGGGGACATGGGTTCAATCCCTGGTCTGGGAACGTCCCACGTGCCGAGGAGCAGCTTAAGCTCGCGTGCCCTAGAGCTGGTGCTCCACAACGAGAGAAGCCCGGGCACCACAGCAAAGAGTGACCCCCGCTCGTCCCAACTAGAGAAAGCCCACCTACAGTAATGAAGACCCATAGCAGCCAAAATAACAAATT